GTTTTAGCCAGGCCCTAATGCAGAGTAGTGCTTGGCGTTTGGCAGATTTGGGGGCTTGGGTCGGGCCAATCAAGCAGACCCCTGCTGGCTCACTTTGTTCCAGCCCATTGCGCCGTTCGTCTTTAGGGAACCACCCACTGCCTCCCTCTCTTCCACCTCCCACACACTTCTCACAGGGAGCACTGCTGAATACTGAGGCACACACCAAACTGCACATGTTAACATGCACACACAAACACCAACTCATTACAATGACTTTTTTTTTTCTTACTCGCAATTCAGATACAGATCTGCACATAAAATCAAGATAATAGGGAGTAATAAATCCTATGTCGGCTATTTCTGGGCATATATTTTTGTGACATTTCCTAAGGTTACACAAAATCAAGATGTAGAACTAAGGGTGGGCAATATGACAAAAAGAAATACATGATTTTTTTTCTCAAATTGATCAATTTTATTTTCTTATTGATAGCCATTTGTATTTTTTGTTAATACTGTTAAATTGTCCACGCAGATGAACAATAATCTGACTTTGCACACCATCAGTGTTTCTGTCCAGACGTTTACATGGATTTATAACAGAGTCCCAGTTGCATTCATTTATCTTGCCAATTTCATGTGCTAGCCCAAGTGTGTTGTGGCATAGTTAGATTTAGTTGGTTTAGTCAAATGCATTTATGTAGCACTCACTTATGAGGGAGGAGTAGTTTCTTTTGTCTGTCCACAACGATAAATGACAGAGGAGTGCATCTGATTGGCGCAGCTGGAGACTGCATTTTTCACAGAGCTCTGACATGTTTTCTGTCATGTTGATTCAGGATTTCCCTCAGACGATCCATCGCAGCACTCACTTCTAAAGCCACTATGCATTCACAATGTCTGAAATGTGGCAACATTGAAAGTACAGTATAATGTAAAAATAGATCATTGGGAGCAGGGCTGCAACTAACAATTATGTGGCAAATTGATTTATCTAGCTATTATTCAGTTATGCAGGTAAAGCTGAAATGAAGCCACTTGGACACATCCTGGTGGACTATTTTGAGTGTTTCCATCAAAAAGCATTACATTTAAACATTTACAACTATTTCTTGGTGATCTGTGGAAGGCAAAAGGCTCGGTCATTTTAAAAAGCTCTGATGGTCCCCAAATACTATCCATTGTTAATTTTCTTTCGGTGGAAAATACTGCATTTCAAAGATTTCTCCTGAAGACAACAAAGCAGACTGAAAGTTGGATCCTGTTGTAAAGACATGGGATGCAGACACAAAGTTGATTAGTGAAGTTATAGAAGCTGAAGGCAAAGCCCTTTAAGCTGAAATCCCCTCATGAGTCTTTTGTGTTGACAGGTTGGAGGTCAGTGTGTTTGACAGTGTTTTCACAAGTGACTGTTGTGCCTCTTGAGCCCAAGTCACCAGTGTGTGTTTGTGAGTGTGTGTGGTTGAGGGGAGGGGGGGTAATAAGTAAGCCCCTCCCTTTAACAAACCCAAAGCCTCCTGACAATCATTCCTGTGGCCTTTTACAAAAATCAACATCACCTGTGACCCGGGGCCTCCCCTGGTCCACTCAGGCCCGGTGCTCCTGCAGGGCTGAGCCTGTGGAGAGGGGGGCTCTGGTGCTCAGTTTGTCATGCTAATAAGCTGGCCTAACCTTAATGACCCAGACATCTGCTGGTCTACGTGTGTCAAGCCCCACATTCAATTTGCTCCCTCCATACAAAAAGCAGATTAAGACCCTTCAGGCAGCAGGAATGTGTGTGCGTGTCCTTGCTGAAAAAGCCTTTATTTCAATGCATGTACTAGAGAATTAATTAGCATTGAAGGGAGGTGTGCTCTCAGTGCCAGACTCACTGTGTGCGTACATATAAACACTACTGTCCAGTGCTCACAACACATATCAAAAAATGTGTGTGTGTGCAGAGAAGCAGAGATGGGCGGGGGGAGTTTGTTTAATGGGCGAGACAGGGGACCATGAGGATTAAGCCCCCCTCCCTCCCCTCAGCTGGGGGCTTTAGAGGAAGGGCTTGGGGCTGTTCTGTTAATTCAAGTGGGCTTAATAATGCCTGTGCACCCTCTGCCCCTGACCCTCCCACCACTACATCAGATCTGGGAGGAAATGCATGATAAAGGGAGACAAGGCAAAGGTGGGGGTGAATATGTGAGTGTGTACAACCTGTGGCCATCTCAATACAGGAAAGGGGCTCAGGGGGGCGGTTTGATAACTGCTCTGTCGCTCCACTTTCTAGCCACAGCCAGCTTTGTTGAAGCTGCATGAGGATTAATCAACACCAAACAATATGCCAAACACGATCAACTGGGTCAGCTCCTGCACTTGTACCAAATGAGCCCTCTCTGACCAATAGATGCGCCATACTGTACAACACTGAAGGAAAACAAGAATATATGACACTTAACTCTAAACTGTAGGCATTCAAATTTGTAATAAAAAGCTCCATACCATGAAATAGAAAGCCAGTGTTACTAACCATACAGGATAAGGGCGGGTGTTCAAATATTTTAGTTTTGATTTTAGCTACAGTAATTATATGAGTCCAATAGGTCAGCCACACAAAGTCTAAATCTATACAGTGACACCATCGGCAGACAAACCCTCTTTATAGTCAGTGAAACAGTTTATCATCATAATATGCTAATTTACCAGCTGCTGATCTACAAAATGTGGCATGTCGCATCATGAAGAAGATGCCAGACACAACTACCTTGTGCCAGGGATCACCCTGTCTTTCAAATTTTATTTTCTGAACCAGAAAACATCAGATGGCAAAGAAACATCTGTACTATCTCTCTTGCCGTACACTTCTCCTGAGACTGCAGAAGCTTAAATCTGTACGGAGAGCAGAATGGTGATTACCTTCTGCAGAAAAATGATTTCCAATCTTTGTTGGTTCACAGATTCACAAGAATCTTGTACTGCTTCGGCGTCTGAGTTTGGGGTCGGTTACTGGAGGACCTGTCCAATCATGAACCGCTTTGTGGTTTAGGTGGAAACCAAAAGGTGAAGTGAACATGTTTGTAGAGGTCTTAACTACTGTCAACTACAACAAGTTTTTTGTTCTTTGCTAAGGACATTTTATTCTCCAAATAATTACAGCCTTTGGGATTTAATAATTGCGGCAGCCAACTCAAATTGTGATTTTGAATCAATTGCAATATATTGTGCAGTCCTACAAGGGAATAATAAAAAATGATGATGACTGATCAATATCTGCACGTATGTGACAGCTGTGGTCTACAGCAGCAGGCAGAGAGCAACAATCAAACATACAGTACATTGAAAAAGTTTGTACAGCAGCTCAGGTTGGACAAGGGATCAGGTTGAAATACTTGAAATACACAGCCAGATATTAGCAATTTTAATAACACTGCATCAGGGCCCTCCACAGAATGAAGCCAGTCAGTATCAGACAAGCTCACAAAATACTGAGATCGCACCTAAGTTCATTCACAAAAACACACTGACTCCTTGTGGTTTTCAAGTGCTGTAATTTAGTCGTGTAGATTAAGTGGTCAGTGGTGTCTTAAGCCCAGTGCACACCCTTATGAAGCCAGCACATGGTATGGCACTGTTGGCATTGTGTACCTGTCTGATATTGAGAGCGTTGGCCCTCAAAGTCAGAGTTCTGTCCTGCAGGAGAAGTTACATAATTTGTAATTGGCAGTGGATATCAAAGGAGCACTCTGATTGGTTTGCCTGTCATGCACTTGCGCAAAATGTACTGCTGACCACCCTATGGCACATTCAGCAGGCATCAAACAGGGCGAGACCCAGGGCAACAGTGGGGCACTTTGTGTCCTTGTTAGAAGTGGATGGCTGATTGGTATGTACTGGGCTTTAATCAGCCTAAATGTGTATGATAAGGCTTTTAAGTTCTATTTATCTTAAGTGATACCTTGATTTAAGAGTGAATAGTTTAATCTGCATTTTTACATATATCCACTAGTATTTTATAGTGTAACAAAAGTTTTTGTGGCACCACACCATGCCACCTCTTGGTCAAATAATCAATGCAGGCTTGTTTTTAGAATTTTGGCCGATCGTTTTCCCTTTCTTGTTGCAAATTTAGCTTGTTTCAGGAACATTAATTTTTATACAAATGGAAGCCTTCAAAATCTGCACCCCTGTCACAATACAATCTGAAAACACAGATCAGCTGCAGTCGCCTCAGGTCTTACTGCCAGTGGGCAAACTGTACCAGAACACATTCATATTGAAGTAGCAGTAAAGAGGTCCTCAGTTCAGCTGCACAAGACCCCGTGGCATTAGGTCAAAGAGGGAGAGGAAGTATCTTTTGTTTTGACTGAGCATGCTATAAAGGTCAAAAGCATGAGGCATCAGTTACATTAATGTAAATATTGGTTGGCCAAGTGCTGGATTTATGAGTAGACATAGTTGCAGTTAACTAAAGAGAAGTACAGTTTTGTCGGTCATTAAACTTGACGTTTGACCAATGGGCTCAGAGTTCTCATCAGTGATGAATGCATGCCCTAGACAGAGTTTCTGTTACCATGGAAACTCTAGATTTAGGGGACTAGACTAGATCTGTTTCTCTCCAATAAAATACCCACCTACAAACAAAGGTCCATATTACATTGTAATAAAAGGCAATTTTGTACAATAGACCTTTATTACAGTAACTGCTGTAAAGTTGCCCAAAACCCATTTCAGAGATATCCTACTTCATGTAGATTAAATTGAGATTATGCATAACCAACTGCAGCAAAAGTAGTTCTATTTGCTATTTGCCGAATTTCTTCATAAAATACTTAAAATTGTACTGAAATATTTAATTGTTTCAAAAATGATCGAATAAATCCTGTCAGCAACACATTTCAACATCCAACACAAAAGCAAATAGAAACTAAACTCTGGCGTCACTTAACGTTAACCACGCAAAATCTGGTTCGTGCACATGTTTCTATATAACGTGACCTGAAACTTATACCCATACTGAGAGTAAAAAAAATGAAGCGACTTACTGAGTGTCTGGATTGTGGAAACATCATGACAGTCTCCTGTTTGGTGTTGCCCGTCCAAAACACGGCCGTGCCTCGTAGTAGTTACACAGTATTTTCCTGACGTTAGTCCTTTGTCCAAAGCTAGAGATTTGTCTGTAACAGGAACTGTCCAGCGTTAGCCAATTGATTAGCTTTCTGTAGCTCGCGTTCCGCTCCCCCAAAATGGAGACACTTAAGAGGCGAGAGCGAGGTAAAATACTAATAATTTCAGCTGCGGTGCCTGCCCCTACACAGATCTACTGTTCCAGTGAATAGGAAAGCACCATCACGGCAGCAGCTCTGAGCTAAAGCTAGCGGATCCCTCAAAAGCTGTCAGTCAATATGATTCATCGCCTTAACACAAGCGGTGGTGGCGACGGAGCTAAACGCTTGGAAAATTAATAACGCTATGCACACACGGTGGTTTGGCATGCAGCTAGCAAGTCTCAGCAAATGGTCTCTCCCTTCGCCCTAAAAGTGGTTCCTAAACGGCGTCACTGCTCCTTTTTACAGCCACAACTACACAGATGTAAAAAGTAGAAACCGCGGCAATCCCCCAAAAAACAAAATGTGACTTGAATTCCGTTTCGGTTCAAATAAGAGTCTAATAAAACAGTATTGCAGCATTAGCTCAGCACTCAACTTCGCTTTAAAATGTTCCCAATGCGGAGTTAAAGCAGGAGCACTTATCCCTTAGTGCCAGTAATCCTGGAGAAGCAGTGAATTTCTCAGCAATGGACTAGAAACTCTGAAGCGATGCGATAGGTGCGACGCGTTTAAAGATGAACGCCCCACGCAGTCGGACTGTGCTGTGGATACGGAGCTACAGACTCATCGCCATAGACTGCTCATCGCATACCGCAGATCCAGTCCTCTGGCCAGCTCAAAGCGTGGACAGAGAGCGCCTCTCGTGGACAGGTTGCACAATGCCCAAAGGTTGCCTGGGATCTCAGATTCTCATCTATTCAGGGATATACAGAGTATTGGAGAAGTGTGTATTCTTGACTGGCCAAACCCAAAAGGACGTCTGATTTATATATAATTTTAGGGGGGGGGGAAGAAATTAGACTGTGGATTAGCATAATTAAAAAGTCACACATAATGGCATCTTATAGGCCTACATATTGTTTCTTCTGTGCTATTCATTAATTAATAGTTACGGGGCTAAATATTACACAGATGAGGTGGGCAAAACATTATTTATCCTGAACCCCTGAACTAAACAAATATAATAAGTGACACAGGAGGAGTATAGGAACATATTTATTCCAATTTAAAACATTTAAAGGAGAAGGCTATGAAAATCATTTTCATGTTGAATGAGGTTCAGGCAACAGTGGTTGAAATGAAACATACAAAAAGAGAAATATGGCTAAAATACTGTAAATTAATAACGATTAGGACCCTTCATGAGGGTGCTGCAGGAATACAGTACCTAATCCACCCACAACAGTCCCAACCTGACAAAGACATGCAATTAAAATGACAAGAAAAACAGCAGTTCATTATTAATCTGAGATATAGAATAAATTGTCCTTAATCATATATCTAGTGTTTGTTTTAAAAACTGGACCATGAAATTCACCGGTCCATTGATTTTTCACAACATTGGCACTTGTTAAAGTCTGGCTTTACAAAGAAAGGGGATTGGCACACTCATTGTACATAATTTACATTTGGTATAAGTAAAAAAAAGAAAAAAAAAGAAAGAAAAACAAAAATACATTACTTTCATTTTGTACACCACTACACAAGTTTATTTTAACTCTTTTAAAAAAGTCATTTTAAGTGGTCCTAAATACACGTTAAGGTGTGTCAACCTTACACAGAAATAGATGCAAAGATAGCTTCAATACCACTGTATAGTCCATCCCTCTAGTCAGAATGGATATCAAGCATAAGCAATAGCCATCAAAAGTGTACATATACACACACACTATATATGTATGTATATATATATATATATATGTGTGTGTATGTATATGTGTATGTATATGTGTATATATATATATGTATGTGTGTGTATGTATATATATATACACATATATACACACATATATACATACACACACATGCATATATATATACACATATACATACACACACATATATATATATATATACACACACACACGTATATATATATATATATATATATATATATACATATATATATATATATATATACAAACATACTCACACACACAGATGTGCGTGCACACACAGACATGCTTGCACACACACCTCAGAGTACCGATGAGCGCACTTGAATGGACAACTAAGTCGCATGAACACAGGCCCATTTTAGAGGCGCCGTTTCAGTGCCTTTGACTCATGGGAAGAATACGCAGTCCAATCAAGTCAGGGCATGGAGAATGGCAAAAATGTAAACAATAAATAAATATTAACTAGTGATCGCAACCACAAGTGTGTTGGTCTTTCCAGTACCTTCACTTTAAATTCCTCAAATATTGAGGCAGCTTCATTTGGAAAGAACATGGTCATTTGGTTGGAAAGGCTCAAGTCACTGGTCAGCTTTTTTTTTTTAAATGGCCAATTAGTGAACATAACTGATTTGCTGCTAAAAGTAAATAACACAGGATGAGAGGAAAAAAACAAACAAACAAAAAAAAAGCTGTGGCTTTATTAAAAGTGCCCATTATATAGAAAAACATTTGTGAAGACATCTACGAAAGCAATCAAGAGTAAGAAACACAACAAATAAATTAGAAAATTTTGAATTTGCATATAAAAAATTTCGTCCACAATTAATCAAGTGAGCCTTTCCAATGTTGGTGCAAAGCCAAAGGGAATCATCCATAAAAACCACAGCATCTATCCAAGAACAGTACACATGTTTAACAGGCTGTTAACTCCAAGAGTGATCTGTACATTTAAATGAAGCCATTCTCCTTGTCAAAATGCAAACAGGTCAAAGTGAACAATGACGCCCACTAGACTTGTAGGAATGTGATAAATAAAAAATGGACTGCTGTATTCCTCCCTCACTGAACGTATAGCCATCATTCTAAACCACCACACACACATTTCGAACCATCATCTTCATTAATTGCACCTTGATTTCTCCATGGTACCCACAGAGTCCTTTCACTCCATACCAAATCTGCTAGTAATAGCCCTTTTGATGAAAGTTATGAAAACTTACCTGAATTACATTGTGAAGACAAAAATAGCAATCTATCACCTATCATCTTTCAACTTAATGGAATATTTAACAATCAGGCAAGAGACACGATATGGGATTGGTACCAACAGCTATCACATGTCCTTAAAGTTACAAAATGCAAGCCTCCTTTAAACAGTAAATATTTAACCACCAAGTTTTTTTTGTCAGATTTTTTCCTATTTGCATAAAGCACATACCTGAAATGAAAACTGGCGATTCCATTATCAAGCATTTGGAAAAGAACAGCAACAACTAAATATATGAAGTATAATTAGAAAGATAGAACCATTGTTCTTAAAATAGTTTTGATAATTTACAGCAGTATAAAATCACCTCCCGTTTCTAGGTTGGAAAAACTTTGGGGTGTAACTCGGAGAAAGCGTAAATTACTGTATTAATACAGAGATCTGATTGATAAATTAGACATACAATTACAAACAATTTACCCTCTTGCTAAAACACTATAAAATAACATCTGGATAATATGGCAATCCAGAAATTATTAGAGCGATCAACCAGTGACTTGGCAGAAGTATTTATAATTTGAACTAGGTATTGCACTGTATGCATCTGTTTATCTCATTCACGTTTTGCACAGGAAAATTAAAGTTACCATCAGTGAGAACATCACAGTACTAATATGCGTTGTGATTCAGACAAAAGAGATGTAATACGAACCGTTAATAACATCCAACAAAATAAAACATCTTCTTTTGGCAATTAAAAGCCTGAATTCAGCATGTATGCAAAACACTATAGCAGATTCTGGCATTCTTATTTACATTATTTTTTTTTATTTTGGCAAAGTTATAAAACATGACAGGTGAGATCAAATCCCTTTTGTGTCGGTCTCAACCCGTTTTCTCATTGTGGGTAACCAATAATCATTTTTATGAAAGCGGAGGGTGTAGGTTAGGGTCATTCTATTTTAAAGACCCCAGTTACGTTCTTGCAAATTTACTCTTAGTTCATAGAATAAAAAAAAAAAATCTTTAAAACTAATGTGTAATTTTAAGTAATATAAAACTGTACTCTGTATAGCCTTATACTGCACCAAAATAATGAGAAATTATTTACATTCAACATATTGTGAGAGTGAACAATTGCTCAAGTTCAAGGGTTCATGTTTTAAACCAAATGCACAACTAAAGATTCTGAAACAAACCACTGCGAGAGCTGAAGATACTTCGATCCTAACAATATGAATATATGAGCATGGGTCAGATGTAGCTTGGCATTTGCTCCTGCTGTAGTGTATGTTATGACTGGCAAAAGAAAAGTAAGGAAGTGAGCCCTTTTCGAAGAGTCAAACAAGAGGAGGCCCCTTACCCATCCGAAACACTCAAGGAGGGGCGAATAACTAGTGTTTAGTGAAGATTCAGCCTCATTTGGAATGAGGGAGTGTCAAGATCTGAACAGATTTATGTGCAAGAAAAGCAGTTAATTTAACCACACAAAACCATTGTTTAAAAAGTGGCCAATCCAACAACTCAGGAGATTAGTGAACTACTGAAGCCGCTTTTTAAAGACAAATGTGTCTCTGCTGGAGTTTCATGCAGATGATTATGGTATGTTTAAAAAGAAACTGCATTTAGTGGGGCTGCAGGACTCTTGCTTGTTCTCTTCTTGTTTCCTTCCCATTCTTTTCAAACCAAGTTATATTCTTTGAGATTGAGCTGCAGGATGGTGTCTTTGACGGCTGCAAAGACAAATCGGATGTTCTCTGTGTCAGTAGCACATGTGAAATGGGAGTAGATAATCTTGTCACTATCTGGGTTCAAGTCCACAAACATCTTCAGGATGAACTCCCGGCCTGCTTGGGCATCCCTCTGAGGACCTACAGGAATACAAAAATATAAAGAATAAAAACATTATTAAAATGTTCAGAAATATGACAAATCACAGCTTTTATTTGCAGTGCATTTTTAAATGTTACTAAATGAAACATAAAAAGTCAAACATTTTCACACACTGTATTAAGAAAATTATTATATTAAACTGGCATCTGGCAGTTTAAGCATACACATTGTATTTCATATTGAATGTGTGTGGTGTTTCATGCACATGAAAGAGCCTTTGCTTGCTGGTATGACTGGCTCTTATGGTGACAGGTACAAGCTTCTAGGAGCACAACATACAGCCTTGAGTCTTTCTGTGCTCTTTTTAAGGTCAAAACAGACCATACAATTAATTTACATTAATTCCTATTTTTTGCAAAGTTTCTGTTACTATGGAAATCATTATATACCATCATTATATATTTTGGATAAAGAGCTCATCAGTTCATCAATATGCCCATGGGGTGTCACTAAACATTCAAATGATGAACCAAACCAATCTGAGTCTAATCCCAGTTCTTTTTTGTAAAAAAGTGGTTCATAGTCCAGCATCAAGCCCTGCTCAGCTGAGCGCTGACACCCTGATGCAGACCTGAACCATGTGAGCTTCTGCTGGGCTGGCGTGGGAATCCAGACCATTTAATTAGCCTTCATTATTTGTTATTTATAAACATCACATTAGGGGAAACTTTAGCTGTTCCAAGCCGTTTTTCATCACTAGTCCTTATAAGCCTTTGTGGATCGACCACCCGCCCTTACGTTTGGTGGTAATTCGACACACAGTAACATTTCAGATGAGGTGCACATACATGGCACATACACGGTACAGCAAACACTGCAGGCTTTCTGATTGGCTGTCAAGTGCATTGGGGAGCTGTGCGGGACATCCACATTGAATTAACACTTTACCATAAACCAGCCTTTAGGCCTAGCTCTTCCCCTTTAAATTCAGGGCTAAAGGGTAGGACTATAAACACAGCACTTCAAAATGGGACACCCTTCATTCACTCTGCCTATTTTTCCATTCATAACAAGCCAAGAACTGTATGGTGTTATTTATGAATATGTCTGATTAGGCTTTTATGATAATGATAAGGTATAATTTCATACAATATTGATAATTATGTTATATTTTACTTTCATAATATGAAAGTATACTATATTATAATGTTATATTATATTATACAGGGCATACTATATTTAGAAAAGATTTCATTATTTAATCATTTTGCACATGAGATATTAAAATACAGCAATATAAAATTTTATAAGTTCAACCTGAATACACCCTCTGATAATTAGGCCTACAGCTGAATCAAAACTTTGACAGACAAATGCTGTAGTTATAGGCTTCTTTTACTGAGTTAAATGCCCCCCAAAAAACAACATTCTAAGCTATAATGTACATTTCCCTCTCACTCTGTCTCTGCTCCTGTGCGTACATGTCCAACTGATACCTATCTCTGTTGTCTTTCTCTCTTTCACTGTTGACCACCATGTGGCTTCAAAATGGGTGAGAGCAGCCCCACAGCGGATAGAGTGAGTCCCTGTGAGCGGCACTTTGACCTCAGGGAATCTGCTCTCCACAGAGGTAATAGGCTATTTGTAAATGTGAATAAAAGAAATGTCCTGGGTCTATTGCTCCAATAAAGTTTGCAAAAGTTTACAGTGGCAGGGCAGGTGGACTGTGTTGTGCACAGTGGCGAATAAAGCTGGACAAGCAACAATGGGAAAGATACAACTGTTCCACTTTGAGCAAATCACAGTGGCGCAAACTGAACAAAAACACAAAAGATCAATCTCATGACCTTAGAAATGTCATTAAAGTGCTCATTGGTTACATATGAGTTTTTCACCAGCGCATTTCCTTGTTTCTTAAAACTCCTCCTACCCCTTGGTTTGAAGTGTGCATTTGAATTTGCTCCATTTGAAATTGGGTACAGCCCTCCTTAACCTTTCGTCTCTTTTGAATGTGCAAAACTAAGGCCAAAGGGCTAAAGGGTATAATTGGGTTTGGGCCTTAATCTAATCTGTGTATATAAAATAAAAAGATGAAGAGAAAAATAAATGATGAGATGACAAAATAGAAAATCACCATCGAACTCCGGGAAGTAGTCAACAAGGTGAGAATACATAATCTTCTCCTCTAGAAGGTCTTTCTTGTTGAGAAAAAGGATGACGGAGGAGTTCTGAAACCAGGGATATGTGATGATGGTCCTGAACAAAGCTTTACTCTCCTCCATACGATTCTGAAGACAACACAGAAAAACAAGTTAGCTTTAAAAAGAACTGGACAGCTATATGTGTTCACTCACATTAACATTAAAAATGATTTATAAATGGACCAGACAATCTAGCCCCACTGAAACACTAATATAGTAGGCTTCTACGGGTACTGATCCTTTCCTAATTCTCTTTGCATAAGGAGGTAAATAGTGTTCATGTTGAAGGCTTTTGGATTTCTCTTTTGGACAGAGCTGTAGAAAGTAAAAAAAAATGTACCAGGGCTGCAAAAGTAATAATAACTGAATGGTCACAGTTAGTTAATTGCCAAAACTGAAACAATCCAAGTCCATGGTTCTCTAACCCATCACATCTGAGTTCCACCTAAGACAGGGGTGTCCAAACTTTTTTCATCAAGAGCCACATGTCTAAACACAGACGAAGCTGAGGGCCGATCAAGGGCCGTAGACTGGTGCTCATAACAGTGAATAATTAGAATATGTGCATGTTTAACACGTTAAAATGAGCCATCAGTCTTTATTCACGCTAAGATCCTCAAAACCACACGCTAAATATTAAATATTGGCTTTATAAAAGGTACATTTTCAAAAAACTTGCAATAAAAAGTAAATTTTGCATTGATGCACGGTAATTTGGGCCAATTCTCCTGGAAGCCTGAGGGCCAAGAAAAATTTGTCTGAGGGCCACATTTGGCCCCCGGGCCATAGTTTGGACATGCCTGACCTAAGATAATATTTGGCTTTCTGGGTGCCACAGATGTAAATCCATACTACTACATTAGGCCTAAATTATAGAGCTAAATGTGATATAAAAAGAGACTGAACTAAGTCTAAATGAGAATAAACCATACATAAAATGGTACCTCTAAATAATGATTAACCCAAACTCTTCTGCAAACACCACAATATCCCATCTTCATGAGGACTTTTTTTTATAGATTCTGCCAACTCTGTATTTTAGACTTTTACAAGTACATTCTGAAAATCACAGGATTTGTTGCTTAGCATTAACTGCTTCAGTCTTCTCTTAAGTGCTGAGGACGACATGGTCAGCAGTCTTCATCAGTAAATTCAGTCTCTATGAATGCAAAAATACTACTGTGACTGTAAACTAAATGTGGCCAGATTATCAAAAATATATTATCGTGAAAGCTTTTTTCAAGATAGTGAAAATGTATGATGCTTAAAACCTCAACTTAAAGATATTTTTACACATTTCTGTTGAACATATAGTCTGAACACTATATTAACAATCAGGCAAAAGACAAAAGAGCTTAAGAGATATTACTTCAAAATCATCCAGCCTTACTGCAAGCAAAACATAATGCGGTGCCCATTTTCTAGATACAGCTGTAAGTTCATGTATAAGGCAGAGCTCACAGTAGGATGAGCAGGGGATGATGAAATTAACCTTCATTAGCACTAATTCTATCTAAACAGTCAGGAGCAGGAAAATAAATAATGTGGATAAACAGGCCTCTGACAACATCCCAAACCATGTGCACATATTTTAGCTGTATATTGTGTACAGACGCAACATTTTTAAAGGAAATTATAAAATGAACACAAACACACCTCATTGTCTGATTCTACAAGGACCTGATCGTACTCGCTGAGGGCCACAAGGAACATGATGGAGGTAACATTCTCGAAGCAGTGGATCCACTTCCTCCGCTCTGACCTCTGACCTCCCACATCCACCATCCTGGTTTAGGCAAGAAGCAACAGGATGCAGGGATAAAGTAAACAGATAATTATTGGTCCAGCATAGTTTGACTTAACAGTATTTAAACACAAATGATCCAGTTGTTGCATGTGGAGTGTAAAAGCAAATGTCCCAACATCCCACACACAACAGTGAATGGAAATAAGCAAACAATGCCACTGCAGTGTAGAAATGACAGAACACATACAAGACTATGATTTTTGCCCGTTCACAAGCAGATGCAAGAGAGTACATGCAGGTGAGATCAAATAGTCATGATGATTAAATATTGAGTAAAAGGAAATATTAAAAAAAAAAATTCTGTCTTGAATTCAACTCATCAAAAGACACTAACAACTGGACTGTAACAATAGGTTGAATTTAAATAGAATTGTGATAAACTTGAACATAAATCACAATCAATGGCCCAGGGATTTTTAAATCGACAGCAGATCATTTTATGACTTTGAGTTAATATCATCCAAAACTTTGATGACAAGGTGTGCCAGGGAGTCCTGAAAGGATGAGGGCATTGATTAATGGATTCCACCAGAAGATGCAGCTGAAAATAAAACTCCTTCACATTAAATGACCTCCTTTTCTCCTCTAGCAAAAAACACTGACCTACTTAGCATGATCAGCTTTGCCTATCCTGGATAAGGCAAGTAAAATGACATTTTCTGGGACTTCAAAAGCCAATTAAAGGAAAAGGGAAGCATGCCTAATAGAGATGTTGTCTATGAATGGCTTCCTTGTTGATATGTCTGTGTCAACCAAAAGCGAGGGCACAGTGGAAACAATTCACAGTGGTTTATAGTTGCTGTCTTAAATAGCTGCATTGACATACATTTAAATTTTAAATACATCAAAATCAAAAAGTTATTCTAATGCTTTATAATCCAATTTAACCATTATAAGCAGATGCCGTATTTACATCTGAGAATCACTAATGCTACTGGGAACCTCTCACCATCTCACTGCAAGCATTGAGTTATTTCTAGCTGAGCTGGGCGTAGGAGGGAGCTGACATGATGGTTTGCTATCGATTTGAACACTTCTGTAATCTCTCCTATTCCCTGGCTCTATCTGTAGTTCTCGCTCTTTTCCATAGTGACGAAAAGAGGAGCTCTGGAGTCAGAGTGCCAAGTGCAATCTAATGTACCTGTGGCTGACTTAAAAATGCAATTATACTTTAAATGAAATAAAATTTGGTCCTTAAATTTAAGAAATTAACAGTGTTACAGTTTGCATACAGACAATGATATAACAAATGGTTGGGTAACATGAACAGGCAACAAACACTTATAAGGTCTGGGTCAGACAGAACAAATCTAGTTCTACCTGAAAATGATGCTTTGCAAGTCGAAAGGGTATTCTATAATCCCAGTGGTTGGGATTCGAACTCTAAGCACATCCTGTTGGGTTGGTAGATAGCACGGGTCAGCAATGCGATCCAGATCACTTAGATAGCTGGAGGTAGAAAGGACAAAAGAGGAAGGACAGAGAGAGTGAAGCATACCAGCAGATACACAACACACCGTCTACAAAAGCAAGTGGTCAGTCCAGATGCAGAGCAGTGGATAGGATCGGCCAACAGTCATGTACCATCACCTTTTCAGAAATGTGGCATCATCACTGATGGGGGCTCTCAGACACCTTTATTACATTTTTCATTGGCCTTGTAGTGTTATTTTCTTCAGTATAATAACACATTCAGGTTTCATATTTGTGTTTTAAAATGGTATTCTGGTTGGTTTGTGAGAGCATACCATCAGAGATGTGTTAAAGTGCCGAGCCCAGCTGTGAAGCGGAGTGGACTGAGATATTAGCATCACCCACTGGCTGACCAACTGTCATGCAGCTACTTAGCCACTGGCATGGGCGACATTGGACACCAGTACCTGAAGATTATATTCTCCAGGTCAAAAGGGTACTCAATGATGCCGGTGGTAGGGACTCGAACCCGCAGCACATCCTGCTGAGTAGGCACATAGCCTGGTGTGGCTATTCGTTCTAAATCAGTAAGGTAGCTGTGGAGGGGGAGCAATATATGACACAAACACATGGGAAATGCCTAGCCACAAGGCTATGAACAAGCCATGCTAATGTACGGTAAAAACTACTAAAACTACTATTTGAATCTATTTGTATACTAATTCTACTACTTTTATCAATACAAACCTCAGTGCTGAAAGGTAAAAGAAGTCCACACATGAATACTGCAGTCTATGCACCTTTCATTGATGTAATGTTCCCTTATTGTATTCAGTCTACATGCATCAATAGCACAGGCTGCACACTTACTATTTGGTGGAGTCGGAGAGCTGGTACTCTCTCCTGCGATCATATGCCTCCTGGATGCCAGGGTCAGACCACAGCATCTTTATCGCTCCGACATACGGCTGATCAAAGGATGATACCTTCTCCACATCAACCTCCCGCACAAGCAGAGCATTATTCTAGGAGCAAGAAAGAACAGAATCCATTAGGCCCGCAAGAGAGATTAGAAACAACTTAAAGGCTGTACTCACCTTGTTCTGTTCATACTTGAAAGGTATCTTTAGTGTCTCAGTCGCCCGGATCATGGCCTGCATGGAGGTGAAGATGTTCTGATAAACCAGCTTGGTAAAGCCCTTCTTATCCTCGTCTGTGTAACCAGATCCATGAATTATTCTCATTTGCTTTATGAAGGTACTCTTGCCGCTCTCACCGGTACCTAGAAGCAATGAAGCAAAACTCTATCAGTTTAATTTGCCATGTTTCATTTTTTTGTTTGAGACAAAAAAATTAAAGTAAACTCTGTAGATGTCCACCATACAATACAGCAACAGCATGACTCCAGGAGGTCAGAATTAGGAATGTCACAATAATTACAGTAGCGACTTATTGTTTAATATATGAAAGCTGGAACAATATGTTTTGGGGCTCAGTATTTATTGTGGGTACTTTTTCTTTGCAATAGTGGGGAGGTTTTTGCCATTTTTATGTAATAATGTTAAATTTGAAGTGTAGGAAATAGAATAAATAATAATTACTACGGCTACTTATCGCTTCATTGTTCCTTTTAGTAGTTGCAGCTCATGCTTTTTGGTAATACTGTTTAAAATCCGTTTACCGGGATTATCTCACTTTGTGATAGTGGCATTAAGGATTCATTATTATTGTTTATCGTCATATATCTTTGTAGAAATGTATCGTGCTTCACATTTTGTTATCGTGACAGGTCTAGTCAGAATGAGAGCTAATAACATGCCAGATTTCATAGTTCATGTCTAACTTTTTATGTACATAAATAATTCTCATTCTAGCCATGGCTTTTCATTTTTTCCTTACATGAGGTGGCTGAATGCAAAAAACATGTGAAATTCCTCAAGTCTGCATTAAAAAGAACCGCAATAGTATTATATGGGCAACATACTTGTCTTAAAAAATGCTAGATTTAGAGAGGTCTCTGTGGTTGATTTACTCTATTGACTATAACAGAAGTTAAGAGACCAAGTACAGCTTTTCATGTACTTTACAGGGATCTTTTTAATCAACACTAAGTCATCAACAGGCAGTTTACGAGCTAGAATTTGGAAATTCAACTAGCAATAACTTTCATGTCATTATGAAACCTTTTCACTACACCTTCTAAGACACTGTGAAGGGGAATGTTTGACACGTCACTAAATCATCTCTGACAGAGTGGGCAGACCCTTGGTCACTGATGCATCATGGCCCTATGTAGCCCTGAGAAGCCCAGGAAGAGCATGCGCAGAAACTCAGAGTTTGTGACATAGAAGTTCCCATTTAAGACCAAAATATCTAATATATTCAAAAGCAGGAGTCCAGATTACTACTGTTACATGAGATCGGTCTTTAGTTCACATCAGTTTACACGTTTTTTTTTCTACCATGAGGGGAATTAGACATTTAGCACTATGCATGAACAAGTCCAATACAGTTTTCACATTACACATTTTGTGTAAAAAAAAGGGAGTCCATCTATCAAAGCAACAACTTGTAAAAATATATTACATGTGATGTGATGAAAATAAAGTTTGTGCTGAGTGCGTTTACTTTGTAAATCCAAATGTAGTTCATGTTCTGGTTCCTGTTTGGTACGCTCTGAACTGTGGAAATTCATCTAGCTGGACAACAGTGCAGAAGAAAATATACTTGGTTCGTAATGTTGTTGGAGGAAGGTGAAGTCCCCTCCTTGAACCATCACCTTATCGTGGTGGAGGGGTTTGAGTGCCCGAATGATCCTGGGAGCTATGTTGTCGGGGGCTTCATGCCCCTGGTAGGGTCACCCAAGGCAAACAGGTCCTGGGGGACGGGTCAGACGAAGAATGGTTCAGAAGCCCCACATGATGAGTTCAAATCAGAGGCCAGTTACGTCGCCCAGAATGGCGTCACCGGGGCCCCACCCTGGAGCCAGGCCTGGGGTGGGTGCTCGAAGGCGAGCGTCTGGTGGCCGGGCCTTCCCCCACGGGGCCCGGCCAGGCACAGCCCAAACAAGTTATGTGGGGCCGCCCTTCCGTGGGCCCACCACCTGCGGGAGGAGCCATATGGGGCTGGTGCGGAGAAATTGGGCGGCAGTCGAAGGCGGGGGCCTCGACGACCGGATCTCCGGACATGGAGACTAGCTCTGGGGACATGGAATGTCACCTCGCTGGGGGGGAAGGAGCCTGAGCTTGTGCGGGAGGTTAAGCGTTACCGACTAGATATAGACGGCCTCACCTCCACGCACAGTTTGGGCTCTGGAAACCAACTCCTTGAAAGGGGCTGGACTCTCTATTTCTCTGGCGTTGGCCGCTTGGAGCGGCGGCAGGCTTTGTGGATCTGGAGAAGGCATTCGACCGTGTCCCTCGTGGTGTCCTGTGGGGGGTGCTCTGGGAGTATGGGGTTCGGGGCCCTTTGCTAAGGGCTATCCGGTCCCTGTATGACTGGAGCAGAAGCTGTGTTCTCATTGCCGGCAGTAAGACAGACCTGTTCCCGGTGCATGTTGGACTCCGCCAGGGCTGCCCTTTGTCACCGGTTCTGTTCATTGTATTTATGGACAGAATTTCTAGGCGCAGTCAGGAGCCGGAGGGGGGCCAGTATGGGGACCACAGGATCTCATCTCTGCTGTTCGCAGATGATGTTATCTTGTTGAACCAGGACCGGCAATGTGCACTGGGGCGGTTTGCAGCCAAGTGTGAAGCGGCAGGGGTGAGGATCAGCTCTTCCAAATCCGAGGCCATGGTTCTCGACCGGAAAAAGGTGACTTGCCCTCTCCGGGTGGGAGGAGAGTCCTTGCCTCAAGTGGAGGAGTTCAAGTATCTCGGGGTCTTGTTCACGAGTGAGGAGAGGGCGGAGCATGAGATTGACAGGCGGATCGGTGCAGCTTCTGCAGTGATGCGGTCGCTGTATCGGACCGTTGTGGTGAAGAGGGAGCTGAGTGGAAAGGTGAAGCTCTCGATTTACTGGTCAGTCTTTTTTCTTGCTCTCACTTATGGCCATGGGCTTTGGCTAATGACCGAAAGGACAAGATCGCAGACACAAGCCCTCGAAATGAGTTTCCTCCGCAGGGTGGCTGGGCGCTCCCTTAGAGATAGGGTGAGGAGCTCAGTCACACGGGAGGAGCTCGAAGTAGAGCTGCTGCTCCTCCATGTCAAGAGGAGCCTGTTGAGGTGGCTCGGGCATCTGTTCCAGATGCCTCCTGGACGCCTGGTGTTTCGGGCATGTCCCACTGGGAGGAGGACCCGGGGAAGACCCAGGACACACTGGAGAGACTATGTCTCTCGGCTAGCCTGGGAATGCCTCGGGGTTCCCCCGGAGGAGCTGGAGGACGTGTCGGGGGTGAGGGAAGTCTGGGAGTCCCTGCTTAGACTGTTGCCCCCGCGGCCCGGCCCCGGATAAGCCGAAGAAAATGGATGGATGGAAGATGAAGTGGCACCAGTGCAGCCCTGTGCAGCACATACAGGATGTGGACTGGCATCATTCACTATAACAGCTGCGCAATTACTACACAGTGCGCAACAGAGACACATGATGTGGAATCAGCCTGTAAGAGACTCATTCTGCTATCTGATTGGATAATTGTCTTGAGAACTAAAACCAACCAAATTATAACAAACCTCTGTATTGCCATGTCCAGGGTTTTTGTAATTATGAATAAATTTGCAGTGTTTCATGAAAAGCTATATGGTACTTGATTTGAACATGTTTATCTCTTATCTTTTAAAGGAAGGGCATTAACAACAGGTCACAGTCCTGTGTAAAAGAAGTCAACATTTTTTTTAGGGTGTCTTTTACTCAAGGGCAAATTCAACTGAACTGTCTGTGCCAGAAGCCCTGTTTTAGTGGCCAATGAGAGCAGATCTTTGACTGTACAGCAGGTCAAGCTACACTGGAGTTTCCCCTTCAGACTGACTACGTCTTTGAGAGGGAGACATAAATAGCTATTGTAAAAGACACAGCAGTGTGGAGTTAACTTTCTCACTGACTGAAGAGCCAAACAGGGGAGGGCTATTACCAGGATGTAAAAGCCAGACTGGGCAAAGTAGTGGGGATACATTTGCTCTCATGTGCAGAAATAAAAGAGTGGCTCCAGCTTGATGCCTAATGAAGTGAACATTATTAATTTACATTTTGATTTGACGGGCTTACTGCAGTGCAGAGTCATGTCTTGCAGGCATGATTAGCTCAAATCAACAGATCCCATTGTTCCCCTGCCTAACTGGAAAACCCAGCACAAGCCACTGTACATTGACTGAAGCGACTCCAGAGGGTAATGCTTGTTCCCATGGCAACTTGAGCAATGGACTCATAAAAACATGGCAGAAAACAGCAGCTGAAAGGCAGTCCCTGCAGACACATGAACTTCAGCTTCCATGCCTCAATCTGACCAGTACTTGCTGTGAGAACTCAACACCAACAAATCACATTCAAAACAAAGAAAGTTTGTGAAACTCTAATTTTTATTACAGTTGAGAATGACAGGTGCCTGTGCTTCTATTTGTTCCAACTTCTAACTGCGATAAATGACAGTGAATTTTTTTGTTGCCATTATATCATACTTTTGGAGCACAATTGCAACAAGTTGTCATGCAAGAATCTTTGCTTTTTGTTATTTCTGTGTCAACCATATTTTGTATTAACTGACCAATTCCTTTATTAGGATTATAAGGATTTATATGGATCACAGCAAAATCAAAATGTATGGGGTGGTCAATGTGGGGCATGTCTTTAGCTGACAACAGCTCCATTGTGTACATGCTGGATGCATAGTCTAGCTCGAGGGCTATGCAATGGGACTGTTTACACAAGGAGTGAAACGAATAATAGCAGGGAATGATATGACAGTGTGTCATAAATGCAAACAGGATGTTATGGGCACATATGATCATTGTACTGATATTGGACTGGAAAGAAAGCAGCTTGATCCTAAAGCAATTAGGCACAAGACTTTGACAAATGACTGGGCAGTTAAGTGAATAAATACAGTTTATGTTCACCTCCCTAGATAATTCAATGCCAGCACTTTTCGATCCATTTAACTCTGGAGTGTCGCATAAGCCTTGTTACATTCAGCACATGTCTAAAGATGAACACTAACACTATCAGTGAAAAGTCTGGACACACTTTTTTATCTTATGTTTTTTGCATTTATTTTCATGACCATTTACATTATAGATGATCACTGACAGCATCAAACCTTTGAACACAAATGGAATTTAGTGAACAAAA